GGCAAAAGTCGACATCACCTCAGCTTTCAAAGCTATGCCTATCCATCCAGATTCACGGCACTTATTTGGGGTACGTTGGCACAGGAAATTCTATTTTGTCGTGCGCTTAACTTTCAGATGCAAAGCAGCACCAAGATTTTCTGATGCGTTATAAGAAGCAGCTTATTGGATTCATCAAACAATTACGCAAAGTAATCTTCATAGCATCTACCCTTTTAGACAACTCAAATTTTTCTGAGCATTGGATTCCCTTACAGATGCTGCAAGAGCGCTCCCGGTGGAGCAAATATGTTTCTCTGTCGACTACCGGGGAGGCTCACCCATCTGATGCCGTGAGTATTGAATTCCCATCAGATGCTGCGAGAGCCTCCCGGTTGAGCAAACCTTGCCTTTCCGTCAGAATACCAGCGAAGCTTACCCGTCTGATGCCGTGAGTATTGAACTCCCGTCTGATGCTGCAAAAGCCTTCCCAGTCGAGTGAATATGTGTTCCTTCAACTGCCGGTGAGGCTTCCCCGTCCGGGTCGTGAGTATTGAATTCCCGTCGAACGCCGCAAGAGCCTTCCGGTCAAGCAAATCTTGGCCTTTCAGTCCGACCACCGGCGAAGCTTACCCGTCCAACGCCACGAGTATTGAACTCCCGTTAGATGCTGCGAGAGCCTTCCCCGTAAGTGAATGTGTTCTTTCAACTACTGGCGAGACTTACCCATCCGATGCTGTGAGTATTGATCTCCCGATTTGATGTTCTGAGTCTGATACCCCATCGGATGCTGCGAGAGCCCGCCCAGTCGGGTTTTCCTTTTCTCTCTCCCCGCCCGGCGAGGTTTATCCATCTGATGCAGTGAGTCTTGATCTCCCGTCAGATGTTTCAGGGGGTACTCTAGGTTCGGGCCATTCCCGAGCTCGGAGCCCTTCCCCGGACAGCACGCCAAATATGCATTACCATACTTCAGCTAATTATATGTAAGCGTGAACTCGTGAAATTATGTTTTATTAACAAGGTTCGGGAGGAGCGCGTCAGATACTTAGCCTAATTAACACAGATGGAGCGCACTCAAGTTAATCAACACCATGATATAAATACAGCTGACTTACCTCTATCCATTATTGGTTTATCAGCATCCCTCCTCTGCCCCATCTCCTCACTTCGAGTTCATACTACACTTATACGGCAGGGTACTCTAGGTTCGGGCCATTCCCGAACTCGGAGCTCTTCCCCGGACAGCACACCAAATAGGCATTACCATACTTCAGCTAATTATATGTAAGCATGAACTCGTGAATTGGAATATACTTCAGAGATGTTTTACTCATAATAATTTCTATAATATGATTCCCCCAAACCCAAAAGTCTTTGATCATATTTATCATGGGTACCAATAATGCTGACCATACTTATAACTGCAAATAAATCCAAATGAACAGAAGGAAAAAGACATATTTTCTATATTGTACATATGCAGGAGTGGGAGAAGGAACTCAAAGAGCTTTTCAGAGTTTTGTCGGATGAAGGTGAGGACAGGAATGAAGACTTGTTGAAAATCGCTAAAGAAAAGATCACTGCACTGTATGGAGCTGATGCAGACCAGAAAACATTAGAAGAGCTCACGAAAAATGAAAAATATGCTGAGATTGAAAATTTTCTGTCTATCAGTAAGAAAATAATCTCAAACAGTGATGTAAGTTTGGAGACTAAATATGTTTAATACCTGATGTGTGGCATTTAAATAGTTCTGAATTAGATTTTTTTTTTTTACTTGAATATTGAACATTTGAAATTTAACACGATTGAATTTTTTGTATTTTCAAACAGCGGATTTTTGGTTCTGAATTCTTAAGACTGCAAAAATGCAGTTTTTTAAAATACAGCTTCAAGTTTTCAAGATGAAGAGGAAATTCGCAACTTTAAATTCAATATTCTAAAATTCAGTACGAAATTCAGATCATACCGAAAGTAGGTCAGAGGCCATCCACAGGGAAGAGTAGATGATATCCGAAAAGTTGAGCGAAGCATTTTAGCCAATTAGTAGTTTTCTGGTGTGAGTGTGCGGTTCAAGATCCACCTGATCATGAATCGCCCAGAGGTAGTCTAAGTGATTCTTAAACATTTATGTTTTATATTTATATGTTAGGTTAGGGTTCTCAGCATGTGAAACATCTAAGCCAGTGATTCTCAACCTTTTTACTCCAAGGTCCTCTCCAATACTGCAAACATACTTTGCAAAAATGTCACTGCAGATATTCTTGACAACTTAAAAGTATGTAAAGCTCAATTATACAGTATTAATAAAAAGCAAGTCAACCTGCCATACCAAACAAGACCACAGGGAGACGCCAAAGGACTGCATAAACTACTATATGGATCCATTCAGAATCAGTAAACACACCAAAACACAAATGAAAAATGAAAACATTCTGAATGTGTGGAAACTCAGTGATTGGAATGCGGGTCGATGTCGTCAGTGAGCAGTTCCTCTTGTCAGAACAAGCGATTTTGGAGTGTTTGATGCCCATATGTACATTAGTTTATGTCTTATTTAGTGGAAAAAATGGACTATACTGTAATCGTGATTGCAAGTTACAGGTATATCTAAATAATTATTCATGATGCCTTCAGACAATACTGTCTACACTGAATGTGAAATTCCCAACAGCAAACGGATTTCCCATTCTATTTCTGACGTAGTCCAAACTCTTTGCAACGACTGCTTTATTGCTTCAAGCTTCAAAATGCGCCGCGCCGCATACAGTATAGGAAACATCACTGATTATAATCAATGCTCTACTGTTTTTTTTTTGCTTTTACTCGCTTCATGTGTATACACGGTGGCATGCTAATCACTTTCACACCAAATATACTTTAAAACAAACACCAAAGACCGCTAAGATAAATGTTTCACATGCTGATCGCTAACCTAACATATAAATATTCATCATAAATGTTTAAGAATCACTCAGGCTACCTCTGGGCGATTCATGATCAGGTGGATCTTGAACCGCATGCTCACGCCAGAAAACTACTAATTGGCCAAAATGCTTCGTTCGACTTTTCGGAGATCATCTACTCTTCCCTGTGTATGGCCTCTGACCTACTTTCCATACGATCTGAATTTCTGCTATTGAATTTTAGAATATTGAATTTAAAGTTCCGGATTTCCTCTTCATCTTGAAAACTTGAAGCTGTATTTTTAAAAACTGAATTTTTGCAGTCTAAGAATTTAGAACAAAAAAATCCGCTGTTTGAAACTACATGTCTATAAAACAAAAAATTAAATTGTGTTAAATTTCAAATGTTCAATATTCAAGTAAAAAAATAATCTAATTCAGAACTGTTAAATGCCACACAATATTCAGTTTTGTTCAATGACACTTGTCAATAATTCAAATTTACACAATACAAATTCAAATAGTTATGTCATATTATAAGTTCCATATAATTAAACATTTACATGCTTTTCAGTTAAAAATATATATATTTCCTCAACAGGTCTCTGAATTTGCCAATGATGTTGCATGTTACATAATACACAGTGAGTCAAGTCCTGGTGGCTGGTACTGGCCGCTTGTGAACAGTGTGACGATCAAGATTCCAGATTGTCATGAACTCCTGGAGCACATTGTGCTTGTTGATCTTCCTGGAACTGGAGACTGCAACAAGACTAGAGATGACCTGTGGAAAACCGTAAATATTTCACTACACTCTTTTCAAAAGAACTGTTTTCAAAATTATACATAAACATGCCACTAACTATTTCAAATCCTGTAGAAACTGACAGAGTGCTCTTTTGTGTGGATTGTGAGTGATATTAATCGAGCAAGCACCGATCAAGACCCCTGGGGGATATTAGGGCACTGCATTGAAGAACTGGGACCAAGAGGAGAATGCAAAAGCATCAATTTCATCTGTACAAAGACAGATGTTATAAATCCATCAGCCTATATGAGGTTAGAATTAGAATCTTTTGTCATTAAAGGTGCAATCTCTGTGAAAGCCCCATGCTCTCTCAACAGCAATAACCAGTCAGGAAGCCAGTAAGGAAATGTGTCAATCATTTTGCTTTTTCAGGTTTGCTGATATGTCTTAGTGACATTTTCTTATTTCTTTTTTAGATCTGCGCGGCTTACTAAAGACCAAATCTCGGGAGACAAAGTTTGGAAAATTTTGAATATATTTCTATATATTTGTCCTTCATTTGATTTTAAGTGGACATTTCTTTGAAGTTTTTTTTTTTTTTTTTAGTGCACTGAAAGAAATGTTTATTGAAAGACAAAAACTAATTCTGAAATTGCCATTTGATAGTCCACAAAATATACCTTAAAATAAGTAATACATTTGTTCCAGCTCTGACCTGACAATATAAAATGTTTCAAGCTGTTTTTACACATACAGCTAGTTTGAGTACATTAACTACCGCATATATTAATATATTGTTGTTTTTATTTTAAGGATCAGAAAAAAGTTTGCATACTTCATAGAAATGAAAATGCCAAGACAAGAGTCAAAGAAAACTTTGAAAATTCAGAAATCAAGGTACAGTAACCATTTAAAAAAAAAAAAAAGTCTACTGTATATGTTTCTTAATATATTTCTGATAGATGCTAATCTTTCTTTCTTTCTTTCTTTCTTTTTTTAGAAGAGATTCAGGACTGATGATCATTTTCTTAATGCTTTTACTGTAAGTTCCAATGCCTTCTTCGACCACAATTTAAATCTGGAACCTAGTGAAACAGGTAAACTATCCTGTTTACCAAACAACCACATTATTCAGAATAATCCACATTAACTAAATGTCAAATTGTTCTGTAATTACTTACATAATCTAAAGTAATCTTTACTGTACATGCCATGTAGTCTGAAGGACTGACCAAAATCACATCCTTTTGTAGAAATACCAAAGCTGCAGGATGATTTGAGGAATATAAACAAGAACATTAACAGAGAACTGACCAGAGATTATGTAAATGAAGCGAAGGGAGTTTTGTCCTTGATCCAAAGTGTCCAACTGGATACAGACAAGAAAACGGTATGAGTACCTGATATTTTGCATGCAGGTCTTCAGAATGCAGCCAGTATACATTAAGTTGTAATTTACTGCTGTTGTCTCGGTGTGTTTTAGATTGAGACGAAAGTCAAAGTCCACATGGAATTTGAGAAGAACTTAATGGAGGCACTAAATGAATTAAACAATCGTTTTGACAGCATTTATAATGATCTGGAGAAGTGTCTCTCAAAGGGAGTGGAAGAATCAGTGCAATTATGTGTTGCTTCCACAAATGAACTGATAGCACCTGTGAGTGTGATTCAAATATTGTGCAAAATGAATCACCATATTTTGTCCTTTTAATGACATTAGTATTTTTGTTTTGCCACTCAGAATATAGATAAAAGAGGATTCCATAAAATCCTTCAAGCTTTGTGCAAAAATGGAGGATGTTACTGGTCAAAAAATTGGGATGTAGTCCTAGATCTGAACAGGCAGTTGGCCAAACACTTGGATGAATACATTCATGAATATTTCGATCAGATTTTTCCGTAAGTTCAGTTTTATCATTCCATTTCCAGTCCCCCTTTGTTCACTCTATAAAATGAAATGGAAACTGTGTGTAATGCTTGGTTATAATAATTTGTACTATGTATGTGTGTGTAAAGTAGTAAAGGAAGATAGAGATTTGGTTGAGTTTTTTGGTGGTCATACCAGATTAATTTGAGGCCAAAAGTTTTGTTAAAGGAATATTTCACCCAAAAATAAAAATCTGCTAACATTTTACTCATCCTCAGGACATCCAAGATGTAGATGAGTTTGTTTCTTCATCAGAACAGATTTGGAGAAATTTAGCATTATATCACTCACTTTAAGGGAAAAACATCCTTGTTTGTTTCACCCAACATCAGACAGGACACACAATATGATTGGGTTTATACTGGTTTTTCATCCAGTAATTCTTGAATCAGATTATTTAATTACAAAACAATTATGTTTTAAATTAACCCTAATTTGTTTTCTCTTGGCTGTAGTGTCAATGGAAAAACAGGGAAGTCAGTGCAGGAACAGATCGATAAGTTCAGTATCTTCCAGAGTGACTCTGTTTACCCAAGCTCTGACATACTACATTATATTCAGAACTTCATCAAAACTGAGGTGAGTTCAATTGTCTTCTTGTGTGCATTAGGGGTCATAATCCAATAATCCAATATCCCGATCTTCTTTGTCTGTTTTTATGTTTTTACTTCTTTTGAAGTCTATGTGAGTCTATGTGAATTATTATTAGGGATTACTTTTTTATTATCATTCTTCTCCGGTAAAACTGATCATGCAGACCAAACCGTTAGGCCTAGAGAGCTGAAACTTGGTCAGACCGTAGTAGTATTGCTCACTACTCAGATCAAAAGACTCGCCCCAGTTGGGCCTATCGGGGGTGCTGCAGCGATCAAAAATTATTCCTACAGTTCCTAACTCCTAGACCGTTTGTCTCAATGGGCTAGTTGCATATCTCTGCCATCTTGGATTTCCAGTCTAGCGAGTGTGTGCATATATATTTCCGGTTTTTCTAAACGTCAGTGCAGAGAACCGGAGAAATCCAAAAATTACCTTCTATATATTTTTACAGGATTTATAATATCACTTCAAATGCAAATAAGATATACACTGCTATTATTACTA